ACCATTATAGTGAGCGTACCGGTTTAGAGAATGTCAATGATTAATTTCCGAAAAATACAGATGATCATAAAGATTCCTGTATGTCCCCTTCCTCAACACCCACTAAGTAGACCCTTTGCCTTCTTTCCCCTCCCCTACACCTGCTAAGTAGACCCTTCACGTTGCGTGAAAAATGCGGAAATTTTTTGTTGAGTTTCGTTGCGTAGAGCCTGGAGTCGCATTGATTCAGTATTGCGACGCATCTTTTGGAATGTGAGAACTGATCTGTTTCCTCCATCTTGAATTGGTTCTAATCTGTCTCCATGGAGTATATAGTAGGGCTCAAGCTTGCGAAGCTGTTCGATAGCCTATTGATGCATGATGATAGGCTCCTCTTGAACTTTCTCTTGCTCTTCTTCTAGTTTTTCTACTGGGTCAAGCGGACAGAATCTCTCCGGAGTATGGGCTTCAAGAGAGTCTGGGTTGTCATCTATATGTTCTTCCTTCGGATTGATGAACATGTTAAGGTCTGCCCCATGTTCAATAAAGTTCCGCTCCCTTAAGAAATTGATGTTGTCCTCAATTTCAGCTCGGATACACATCAGTTCCTCTACTATAATTTCCCCCTCAACTGCAGGCTACCACTCTTCAACAAAACCAGTACCTACTCCATCCGCCGTTGCCACTCTTACCTGTAAAGGTCAGTTCATGTCCGGATTCACTGTCTGGATCCGGGTTGCATTGACAGGGGATAGGAATGATGGCTCAAAATACTTGACGGTGCTTTTGGTAAACAGTTGAAAATCGTTGATGGTTTGAGATCGGTGTACCATACTTGTACACCCCACTGAATTGTTTGTAGGAGATTTACTTTTGGTAGATCATCATTGGATGCCAGTTTTTCTATCTCTGTTACAAGATAGCGGACATAATAGCGGCGAGTATATGATTTCCAAATATTAATGATCCCTTAGTCAAGGGGCTGCCAAAGGGAGGTTGTGTTAGGGGGAAGCCAAACAATACGAGTATTGGTTAATGCATTTTCTCCACCGATTTCTCTCACAGCTAATTCATATGCGGAGCAGTTGTCCATAAGAATGTCAACTCTATTACCTTGCATACATCGATCGAACCAAAGAAGATACTCTATCATAATATTATACTTCATGCAAGAAGTACTGTTATGGCGATAAAAAACTCCGAGATGTCTCCGGTCTACATGATTAAAACATCGTGGATTTCATACTTCCCAATAACCCCTGGCTTCTTCTTGTATGACCCAGTTCCTTTGACTGTTAATCCAATAGTAAACCAAAGTTTGTCCTTTTTGAAAACTTGTAGAACTTCAGTACAGAGCCGTCTGTCTAGCTGCATGCGGTAATAGTAACCTAATTCGTCAAAATTGTAGATATCTTGTAAGTTATACTCTCTGAGTATAACCCTGATTAGGTTCATTTCGTTTATGCCTAAAAGACAAGCACTAGTAATGGCGTCACCTGCTTCACCATCTTGAGCGTGTTCCCAAATGTTGTAGCTTTTCTTGAAAAGAACGAGTCAACTATCCGGAAACTAGGGTGCGACGTCGTCTGCATCAGATTCAAGTTAGTATAATTGCATAGCAGTAAAAATTTTACATCAACTTATATTAATTAATATATTACTTACCAAGGTACAAAACACTAAAGAAATGCATTTCTTTCTCTTTAAGAATGAGTCTCGTAATTACAGTTCTCTTCTTCATACTCTTGTGCCACTCGTACAACGCTTCATTCAGCCTAGCAAAACAACGGCTCAGCGCTTTTTGATATCTGGCCGGACCGGTGCTGGTTGTCCTGAGAGATCTGTGGAGTGTTTCACGACAATGTCACTATTGGTTGATTGGGAGATTATTTTTCAGTTGAATTTTATTTTGAACTACTCCGCAATATCCTTCCAGCTTGGCCGCTTGTTGAGGTGGGCATATTCATTATTGAGCCACTGGCATATCGTATGCTTCTCCGCCTCAGAAAACACTTGTCTCTTTCTCTTTAGAGGTGGCGGATAGAGGGGGCGCGCAGAACTTGAAGAGGGCGTCAGTAGGGACGATAATGTTGTTAGTGGAGAAAATACTGCCTACAATCACCAATGAGTTGGGTATTAGAAGGCTTCCTTTCAAATATTTCCGTATTTTAAACCTAACCCTATGCTCTCTATAATGGTATTACATCAAAATATATCCAACTATTTTACCGGTACTCTTATAGCGAACTTACCAGTCCAGCACACCAAAACTCAAGGGGACCGAAATCCCTGACCCTTACAGAGAGATTACCTTTATAACGAGTACCGCTATAGCGAGCTTTCATTGTACAGGACTATCGGGGGTTGGGATTGGCATTAGAGATTCGAATACTGAATCTGAAAGATATTGTTCTAGGTCCTGGAGCATTAACGACATCCTTTGGAGCTATTGAGATAACCTAGAGTTACTTGAGATTTTTAAAATCGAAGACCAGAAAGAAACTCCAAATGAACGATCCATATTGGAAGGATGGTTGCCTCTAATGCGTCTTTGCAACCCCTCTACGAAATCGGAAATACTTTTGAATATTACGGGTAGCCTGCAAATAAGTCATACAGCCTGATAAAGTAGTATACAGAGGATTCGGAATGCTCTCAAAGCTTTATCAGAAGATCTGAGAGTATTTTAGAGCACTGGATGGAGATGTTCACATGTTTGCAGATTCCGATATGAATCTTCCAAAGACCTGAGGTGTGCGAGGTTCACAATATTAGGTGCATGGGAAACGTGGCTTTTAGGAAAGTGAAAATAAGAGAGGATTGGGTATGGGTGTCGGTAGCATCCTTAGAGGAGTGGGCAGTGTTTCGAGGACAGTTACCAGGACATGTAGTGGCTTTGTTCAAGCTACGGAACAGTGGTAGGCAAGCACATAGACTATGTATAGTGAAGCTACTCGAAGCCAAAGATCGTGATATCGCTGATAGCTTACATGTGCCCCTGAAAGTTTGTAGGAGGAGGAGGAAGAGAATATGGGTAGTTAATATTCGGAGTATATTGGGAATGGCATATTTGTTTGAGGTGGAGACTGGTAATTAGTTGGTGAATACTAGGATAGATTTAGGTACATGGAATAACTTTAGTTGAATGCTTGTAAAGCCATGAGTGCATTCATGAGTGCTCTAGGATTGTTAGACTCAATTGGACTCTCTAATTTAAAATTCGTGTCGTTCTGCTATCTATGCCGATTAGAAAAAGAAGGTAAAGTTCCGGCCACTCAGTATTTGAGTCTGGCTATCCAGCAAGCTCGCTCCAGGAGGTCAATGCCAGTACATGTTTGCTGCTTATATATGGACATTGAGCTTGTCAGATGAGCTGTACCGTGGCCTCGACTTTAAGGCTAATTATGCCTTTCACGAATCGACAGAAACATAAACCTCCGTCAAAGGTTGGCTAGTCATGACTAGTATACAGGACAGTACCCGTATCAGTATCTAGCGACTGACCGTACAGTGGTATTGAGGATACCCACGTTAGATATCATTTGAGGGACTTGTGTCTTCCTACCCATTGAAGACGGTATATCAATAAAAGGAGGGTGAAGTGAGTGTTGCCTCACCTTGAGTGGGTATGACGAATGCCTCAGCTCTGTGAGTAATGGTGAGAGCTCTGGGAGCACTAATGAGAGTACTCAGGTGGGTATTCGTGGGAGCATTTGTGGAAGCATTCACGGCAGCATTCACGGCAGCATTAGCGGGAGGGTTCACTGTGCTGTGAGAAAATTCGCCATCCCATGAGAGCATTCGTCATGCTGTGAGAGCATTCAACAAAACTGTAATAGCATTGGGAAGTGCTCGCGTGATACTACTGACATAATCAAAAGAAGCAAAAGTTCCATAGGTGCTATGAGCGGGGTAACTCCATGCTATCGTCTCCGGAAGGTTAGGCGCTCCTGGGGCGGAGCGGGGTGCGAGCGGTGTACACTGGTGGTATCAGACTCGGTAGGTGCCGGGGTGCAGAATTCCCACCAGAATGAATGGGCTGTGCCATGGGTAATACCCGAGCTTGCTGATGAAGCCTCTTCTCTGCTCTAATCCACTTCACTCTATTCCAGAAATCTATCTTTCCACTTGCTTGTATCCGGTGTAACTCCTTCTCCAACTCTGTGAATATACTAACCGCTCTGGCGAGCGAGGCAGAGAGATGGTTTATGTCAACGAGAGTGGTGCCCTCGAGATAGAGGTTTTCATTTTCAATTAATTTTTTCTGAATCTTACTCAGTATATAACTAAAGTTGACTACTTCAGTATTGAGTCGTTTGATGATAGCTGGGGCATTCTTCATTGAAGATATAAGTTCATCTAAGATGAAAGTGACCTGTGCACCGACAACCAGTAAGCCTACCATGGCCGCTTCAACCTCCATGATCGATGAAATGCGGAAAAGTCCGCGGCCGGGAATGCTACTGGAAGGCGCAATAATATTCGCAGATTAAAATTCTTTTACGCACAGGTTGCAAGTTTACAACATTAATTAAATATACACGACGTGTGTCCAAGGGATGTAGGGATGACTGGCATGTGTTATTGATATGCCTGATGTTGATATTGATCTGGTTAGATTTCAGGACAGTTGATGTCTTACCCCGCACACAAATCTTCCTTGTGTAACTACACTTCAGGGCTAGGGCTACAATACCTTGCAGGCGTCGCAACGGGTGTACCGGGGTACGAAATTGGGTTTCACCCAACCCTACCCGGCTTAGAAAAATCTATATACCCAATGTACATAACTCAAGACATGGGTATTGTACCCGGGTAAACCCGCTTACTTAATATGTATGGTTTCAAAATCAAACTATGGTCCTAAGCATATGTAACTGTGTTTTGACAAAACAATATTCAAAATTATTTACAATGCATTTTTCAGATAACTCGGTCGACCGTGTTGGGGTCTTCCGCTTCCTCCGAACCTTTGTATACCTAATCTATCAACAATGTACCTCCATTTATTCTATCGTCCTCTAACGAAGATATGCATACGTTTGGTCATGGTCTAGCTTGTTGATGAACGGACTCGTTTCTGATCGTGGTGTTAATATAACATCTTCCATATTTTAGCAACATGTAATAAGTGACTACGGCGGGATACTCACTGGTGGGACCTCGTCCCTTATAATCTTGGATCATGCGGACTATTTCCTTATTATGAGTGCACTGGTCTGGGGTACGGCCGTCGTGATCTTGAGCGTATTTGTCAGCTCCTTTCCTTAGGAGCTCGCCGACCATGTGGGTCTCCTCATACTCTGCGGCGAAATGTAGGATAGTGCCCCCAGAAGGGAATATAGCGTTCAAATTTGTGCCCCTACTTACAAGGTGATCTATTACAGCACCCGCTCCCATGGAGTATTTTGCGGCTACTATCATCAGTGGTATGTTACCGAGTATGTTTGGACGGTTTACGTCTGCGTCACCGCCTATCAAGAAGTGCGCCGTGCTCCAGGAACCTTCCTGTAAAGCGAGATGCAATGCCGTTGAACCATTTCCATCGGTGGCATTAATGCCGATCTCCGCCTACAATTGAGTCTTGACACTGCTCACAGTGCCTGTGAGCGATGCCGAATGAAGTATTGTTTTGGGGTTTTCTCTATCGTCATCTAAAAATGCCGGATCAAGTAATGTAACGTGAATATACGGATCAGCTTCTCCGTCAATCCCTAAGGCCAACAGAAATTTAACGAGAGCCCTATCAGCGGGTTGTAGAAAGACACGCAGTGGACCATCGACTACTGCACCATATGTATTGACCCCGAATAATAACCCAATGAGAGGCAAGCTTCTTTGTTTCACCCTGCGGCTCAAGGCAAGATGGATGCTTTGTTCAGTGTCCAATTGAGCTACCTTCTCCAAGGCGAATGAAATGAGTTCGGGCTCTGGAGATCGTTGTTTCAGGAGCACGCGTTGAATCGCATGAAGACCATCTCCTACCCTGATTGAGTCTTGAAACATCGACTTTATGGCAGCCTCATCTCGTAAAGCTGCAGCGCGTTGCGAGGCGCTTTCTAGGATATCTATATAAATGTGACGATCCAGGTGATGTGCGAGTCCCAATGCGAAAGAATAGGGTTCCATGTTTGCTGAACGTAGACTGAGACTAAAGAGACCGTCGAGAATTAAAGAAACATGGTCATGCGGGCACCTCTTCAGAATCATCTGAAAAATATGCCTGCCTCCCTGTTTTATAGTAAGATCCAAGAATTCACTGTAACAAATCGCGTAAGTCCACCTCTGAGTTGACAGATGTACTCATGATAGGCAAAGATAACGTACTAGTAGTTTGGTGGTTGGCTAATACGCGCACCGAATAGTAGTAGGATCTCTATTGTAAGCATATGTAGGTTCTGAAACGCAACGTCCAATGTGGTATCTCCATTCGGGCCGGTCTCGTTGACATCCAAACCACGCCGAAGCAAGTCGCGAACCTCCTCGTATCGTCCTTCTCTAGCAGCGGCATAAAGTACTAACTTTGGAGTCGGTCCCTTCATCAATTCATGTGGGGGGCTAGTTCGATAATGGTCATTGTGGTAGATGGTATCTACGGCGATTGGCAACAGCACTGGAGCTATGGCTTTGTCTGCCAGACTCACCCCTGCCACTTCTCGGAGTGATATCGGCATAGAGAACACAGAGTCATTTGAGTATGCTGTATACATCGACCATCGCCCAATCCTACTCTGCAGGGTTTCTAGTGAGAATATGGAATCGGAATCTCGCGCCCTTCTATATGCGCGAGAGCTGGACAAACTCGACTCAAATTCATGCATTCCAACCAAGGGGTTGGATGTTGTACCCGTGGATGCGTTGGACATCGAGCCATCATTTGATTGAGAAGCGGCATCACTATCTGCTATGCAACAGTTATGAGAGTGTGTTACAGTGGATATAATATATACGATTACCTTGATTAACAGCCAGCGATTCCGCATCAAACTCGCCACTAAGGCGCTCCTTGCTTGATAGGGCTCGGGTAACGGACTCGCTAAGTTGAAGGCGAAGTCAAAGTCAGCATATATGTACAGACATTCTGAGAAAACAAGGCGAGGGAGTATATGGAGGCTCGGAAGACCGCAGTATCCTCGGACATGTATCGGATAGGGTGTAGCTTACCTGGTGAGAATTGTAAATATGAGGGTTAAAGACGTCTCGTGTCTATTTAGACGCAGAGAGATATTCAGAAGGTTCTTTTCTGCTCTGCTCCACTTTAGTCTATCCCAGAAATCCATTTTCCCGCGGGCTTTAATCCGGTCCAACTCCTTCTCCAGCTCTGAGAATGTGGAAACCGCTGCGGTGAGTGCGGCACAGAGATGATTGATGTCGACCAGAGCGGCGCGATCGGGATCAAGACTTTTGCCTTTAATTACCGTTTGATCGATCTTGAGAATGATATATTGAAAATGGATGACTTCGTCATCGAGTCGCTTGGCTATAGCCGGGGCGTTTTTGACTGAGGAGAGAAACTCTCGCAAGATGGAAGTGACCTGTGCACCGGCAGCTAGAAGTCCTACTATCGAAGCTGCGACTTCCATGATAGATGCCGGAGGTGAAACGCTTCGGGAATGCCACTGGAGAGCTTAGCGATACTCCGAGCTTCAGATCCCTCTTTTAGTACACAGGTGAGCAAATTGACAAGATAAATTGATTTCGATACCGTCTGTCTGGCGTATAGAGAGAATGGCGTATATTTTTGATAATTGCGCTGCCGTCTATGAGCTGTCGATCGGTTCAAGACTTACCCCGCTCAATACAGCTCCTTGTGTAACTGTTCTCTAGGGTTAGGGTTATCTTCTCGATTTGTAAAAAAAGGAGACTCAATCGAATCAAAGAGAAAACGATCATAATTCCACTCTCTTGGAGTTCCATACCCACGAGACTTCCAGCGTTCGGAGGGAGAAAAACCTGTGTTAGCTGGTAAATATGTAACTCCCGCTCAGTTCCATCCCTACGATATTTCCAGCTAAACCCGGCCGTGGCCGGGGTGGATATGTGATAGGTTTTGCTATATTTTTCATTATTTGTTAACATCTTTACAGACTCGTATTTTTGGTTTGCCTTTAGCCGGGTAATCTACATACAAGTACCCTGTTGGTTTAATATTTGCACCCAAAACAATGTATTGGGTTACCACAGGTAAGCGAACATTCAGTTGTATGATAGTGCATCTTCAAACATTTATTTCTCCACAACTACAAGGATATAAAGCAAAATAGTTTTAGGTATTGATTCTCCGGCAGCGATAGTACCTACGGCTAAAATGTCATTTCGAGAGTCCGACTTTGGAATTTCGATGTTGTTAGGTGGTTTGTATGGTTGCTATCTCCATGTTCGTCTATTTCTGCTAACGAGCAATATCACTTTCAGCGATCATCAAACCTCCCATGATACCCTAAACTCAACTTTGCAGATCGCAAGGCAGTGTTCTCGCACTCGGACAGCTTGTGGCGTTGTGGCGAAGTAAGCCAAGTGAGCAGCAGGTAGTCACGTGATATATCTACTGTAGGCGTACTTCCTACTACCATAGATCTGGTGTTCCTGTTTCGCGCGGGAACCTGTGAGAGTTCTATTTAAGCGTTTCATTTGATAACATCTGGCCATCCGAAAATCACACGGACCGCACCGGCTTGGTCCTGATGTAGATTCTAAATTTATGTTATAGCGAGTCGCGACATCAGATGAGACAATCCCGGACATCAGTGAAGTTTTACTGAACTGTGGTCACTTCCGTCATTGATGATTCTCTCGAGGAGAGGAGAGTCTTTCTCGTCTTATACCAACTAGTGAACAGTTATGCATAATATGGAAAAAGGCAACATACTCATCGCTTAGCCTCCTAACTCAGCCACGTCTCCAGCCACATCATGTGTACTATGTAGTTAGGCCAGCCCATGGGCAACTGGGGCCGTGATGCATTCGGTCATCCTTGTTTGTGCTCATAGAGTAGCACTTGTGTTAATTCACAGTGTGGAGATGGTAAGGTCGGGATCCCGAAAGATCTCTCCATCAATGATGTTCCCCAATGGATCGATAGCTATAGCTCTATGGGGCGGTAAATGTGTCAAGAGTAATTTTACCAACGATAGTAATTATTTTACCACCGGTGGTGAAAATAATACCTGTATTTATAACCTATAATGCTAATTTTTCTGATAAAAGCACAGACCCTTTGGCCAAAAGGGGCCATATAATGCCAATATATATAAAAATTGTCCACCGGCGGGGAATCTCACCATCGGTGGGAAATTTTCATAAGTTTTGGCATTAATGATTGAACATTTACTTATTTAGTATAGCGCAGCATAAAGACCGAAACTCAGTGTTTATACCGGTGGAAATGTACTAATGTAGGATAGCGTGCAGATACAATGACTGAAATTCAGTGCTTATACCACCGGTGGTAAATCATTGACTACCGTTGGTAAAATTACTTTTGACACATTTACCGCTCCATATAGCTCAATATATTATCATTAAAGCGCAGAATTACACGTTCACTATTTGATGGAAATACCCCGGAGCCTAGAGGTCAAGTGCCCAGTTTCTCCTAGAGTGTATCCTAAGGCTTGCTGGAATCACTAACTACACAGAGCTATCGTGCCGTAGCGAGCCGTAGGAGATAACACAGAGACTGGATCGCGGAAATCATCAGTCGTGGTCAATTACGACATGCACACCCAAGGTTTTCACCTTCGAGAGATCGTCGAAAAATTATCAGAGACCGGCGGTATGATGGTATATGTTAAGAATATTAATTGCCAACGTGTTGTCTAAGGTTCTGGCCGAACCTCCGGAGGCATCTGTCCATGCAGTGAGATCGTGATCATCGCGACCGGTTAACACATGTACAGTCAAAATGGATCGGAGCGATATACGGCACAGGCCCAAACGTCTCCAGCGTTTCTATTCCTCTGTGGATGAGTGCTGCGAGATGTTCAAGGTTGGTTCAGATATCGAGATAATCAGCGAACTGTCCAAATTCCACAGATCCGTGGAATCTATATATACTAGGGATTATACCTTAAAGGGGTGTTTAGCGGAGGGCGGGACAGCAGTAAGGGAAAGTGATATATATTCGACAATAGTGGGACAATAACTTCTTGCAAATGTTTTGCACTTATTCCAGACTTCGCTGGACCGTGTGGGTACCTCGTCAGCTCCTGAAAAGATGGTGATATTCTCGGAGGTGCATCATGACAGATCACTCGACGAACATTAATGGTGCATTCTGTTCCAGAAGCTAGAGGGCGGAAGCTTTGTATAGTACATCCTGCTCACAACTCTTTGTCCTAATATAGAAATATTTATCTCTTCGTGCAGGATTCAAATATGAGAAGAGGTAACAATCATCTTTCGGCGATATGACATTCTTTCATCTTCAACCCGTGCCCCGGAAACGATTAGGTTCAAACAGTAGAGAGCTGATTTCCGATATATACGGGCTTAAGCTTGTGCCCTGGGCTTTCCCTTTGATTCAGAAGGTCCTAGGAATATACATTTAGCATATACTGGTGATGAAATCGAGTATTATTCTAGGGCCTTTTTTCATAAAGTCAAATCACAGAAAGATTTGTTAAAATCCACACATTGGTTACCCACGCCCAAGCCCGGCTAGCAGAGGCCTATCATAGCTAATGCCTTTTCTACCCATTTCCTCTGCACCTTTCTAAAAAAGGTCACAACGGAATTCGATATCAAAACTCTTTGTATCTCTTTTAAGGAAATGAATCAAGCTAGAACCGTATTTATTTAGGAACTGTATCGAGAAAACTGTGATATCGATTTTTGGGGAAGTGAATTGGGGGAAACGATCAGGCTTTTTAATGGGCTGGACCGGTCTATATTTGACCTTGGCCCGGCCCGGCCCAGCCCACCAAATGTTGGGCCCGGACCGACCGGCCCATATACCATGAGGACCGGTCACGGAAATATAAATATATGGGCCCCCCAATGATATTCATCGAAGTCGAAAGAGGAAAAAAGGTATTATAAAATTGTTGCATTGAGGATTTATCTCATAATGAGTGGAGAAATCCAGTTATAAACTAGCCCATATATTATTCCCCTTGACCGGTCCCAAAACCCATCCGGACCGGCCCAGCCCAGCAGAGAAAACTCCAAGCCCGGCCCACCGCCCGTATACTTGGACCGGTCCGGCCCGTATTGTGCCCGCCCATTAAAAAGCCTGGAAACGATCAAAACAGCCTGGAAATGGATCAGCGCTTCCATTCCGAAACAGCCGAACTCCTTTCCAAAAGAATCAAAAGATTTGCTTGCGCTACCTCGTTCGAAGAGAAAGGCAATGGTTGATTCATTAACCGAGCTACTAGGGTATGTCTGATCAGCAACACGCTTCAAATATCATCGAGAAGTTTCCAGCTTTTTTGCAAGTTGCTCTGGGATGCACAGGTAACTTGATCATTGACATCCACGACATTGTAAGATCTGACATCAACAGATATCTGCCTTATCTGCTAACGTCACTGAACAGTAATAAAATTCGTCAACTTTAAGTACCGCTGGGCTTTATTTTCTTCCCATTCAGGTCCGCTTAATATATGCCATGATAGTTCACCACCTCCGACATCAATTTACCTACGGTCCAGTAGGTGAGATGAAGTGGAGAGTGACGTGTTGAACGCGAAGGGATATCAGATAGATCTAACCTATGATAACCAGGGCGGAAATCTAAAACTCTCAATTCTCAAATGAGGTTTCCGCTCGGGAGAGCGACAATAATAGGAGGAGCAACAAGCACTCAGCGACGGGAACTTGCGTAATGTATGCGACTTGCCGACACGAAAGAAAGGTACAGAATGCTTCACAAATTGCATTCTTCTTCTGTTCGAAAAATTGTAACGTCGGCATCACTGTGTAACTGGATACGTGGAGATCGTGTTGGAAGAGGAAATATCGACCATTCGGCCTTATGATCCTCAAACCCGGTCGATGTGAGCAGCAGGAAAGCCTGAAGATACTCCTGGCCGCTACTTCTCGCCTTGCCGTGACTTGAAAACGTTTTAGATGCGGGACACGTCCAAAAATCTCCTTCCGATGTTGCGATTAGGTGGCTTAGGGTTAGGGTTAGTAATTGCATGCGTTGATCGACCTTCCCACCATGCCTAATCTGATACCGGAGATGCGTTATCTAAGCGGGAGTATGTATCGAGGGGGACCAACTTCTATGTCGTCTCACTGGTCACACCCAATGGCGAGGCTGCAGCCGCGGTGGATCAATCAAACGCGGTCCATCCTCCTGTAGAAACACATCGCGTTGGGCCAGCCGAGATTTCGAATGTACAGATTTTGCCTACTCTACATGTGCCTCGAAGAGAATGCATATCGCAGGATGTAACCGCTCCATTGGCCTCGCTTGCTGGCGCGGCGCTTAGGTCGCCCCCAGACTTTCTCCCTGTCCATGATGGATCTAGACTCTAGAGCCATGCCGGTGAAGCCGTTTGTTATTCTCGTCCCAGTCTCATGAGATTATGAGTAATACCATACCTGAGCTCGGGAATCCGAAAAGGAACCGCGGGGGGTTTGACTCTGTTCCCTGATAAACCATCATACAGCAGCAAGAAGCTTATTCTTTGAAAATCGCTAATATTATGCTCTCTTCCCGAATCTTCAACAATCTTCTACCAATGTACACAATCTCGCCGGTTTGTGTTCCGTCGTTCCTGTCGAGGTGTAATCTAAATTCCGGGCCTTGTAAACATTTCGAAATCGGTATCGGATCGGAGGTGGACCCCATTTCTCCAGCTATGGATCATATCGGCGATTCCCCGAAAATACGTTCCTACCGTTCAAACTGGCAATGGTTATCTAGAGAGTTCTAATTTCCAACAACCGAGATGACGATTTATGTTATGCTTCGTCTGTTCCCCGTAATCACAACATATTGAGCCTAACTCGACGACGCCATGATAGAGACAATTTGACGACAAGTAAATACTATACACCGCTAACATTCGAAGCAGCTTCAAATTACGTTCCTGATATATCACTTTTGCACCGCCTATAGATTGACGGTTCCGGTTAATCTCCAATTTTGGATATATATCGCGCGCCACAAATCGCCACAGGTCCTGAGGGCGGAGGCGAGAGGTCGAGGTGAGATAACCAGTGCCAAAATTGAGCGTACTTTGAGGTTGGTGAAACCGGGATACCGAGTCACCGATCATACCTGCAAGGGACGTTTGGCACGATTCCAAAAAAGGAGGAGTACAGGTACTGGGCCAATGTACACGGGGCCATGTAGAACCTCCGGAACGGATCGAAATCATATATATAGAGCAGTACTTATACCTATCCCACATTCCCGCCGCAGCAAGTCCGCAGCCCTCTTTATCGCCCTAGTATTCTATGCCGATCGGCCTTTCTACCTCCTGAACCCATTCTACCAACATCCAATATTTTAACAATCAGCTTCCCTCCATTACCTTTAATCCGGGGGTCACGTATTGAGGATCGCGGCCGGCCTATCCTAACACCACCAGCAATTCCATAAGCAGCGCGACAATCCAAAGATGTCAAGGAGGTAGTGCAGTCAACGAGGTAGCTGGAAACACATCCACCCTTAAATTCATTCTAATTGTACATTCTCTTTATGGAAATATATATTGCCAGGGTTAGGGTTTGCCGCTCCGACATTTTATATCGGCATCTTTGGCATGATTAAAACAAGGCCGAAAAACAAACATCGAGTCGACCACACCAGAAAAAAAAGCTACATTCACAGATTCCCCGGGAGCTGGATTTCGGAGCTCCTGGTCTTACTACAGCGCCGAACAGTCGGAGGTACAAGATTCTGACTGCAATCTAGCTAGGGTAAGAAAACAAGACTACCACCGCTCAGCGCCCGATTGCAATTGCGGCACGCAGGCGGCGGATCATATTGATTCTGCGTTGACCTATGATTGGTAAAAGGGACTATAGGATACCTGTCCACCGCTTCAATCCTGCTTTGTTGGCCTTAGTGCGCGCCTAGTGCCGAGTGGGAGAAGAAGAGACATGGAAAGAACACTGTAGTACGGGGAGGTGGTGGCAACGTATAGATCAATTAGGTGGCTCTAAACGAGAAGGATAAAAAGGGAGGAGGGAGTCCTCTTCTCTTTTCCTCTCTAAGGCTCTAGACTCGAATAAGCTCTGCATCTGAATTCCCCTCAAAACCTTCTCTTCGCAATATTTTCCGCAGCGTTCAGTGAGGTTTTGTACCTGTCGAGCCTGACACCACAACACTCAATACTCGACCGTGAAGTCTGTCGCGTCCTTTCCCGTGCCATGGAATGCTCGCTACACACGCCACCAACCCGATTCTCACAGTAGGGGCAACGGACTAGGTTAGGTTGACACAGCGTGTGACGAGTGATAGGCCATGATGCACCCCCGGTGCTCATATTCGCCTAGGGCGTATATGACACGATAGGACAACATGGGAGTATTTTGTTGCTGGAGACAGTGTTTCTGTACGTACGACTGTTTCGACCTATCCCCTCATGCGTAGCGGGTTGGGTTCGATTTCGAACCCTAATTACAGGGTGACAACCACGATGAAAAATAATATATCACTACCACAACAGGTCTACTATTCTTGATGTTTATGGTACATGTAAAAACAGTTGCGCTTATCATTTAGACATAGAGCATAGCCACAAGACTCGCATTTCCAAATAGTCTGTGGGGCCTGTGGGCCCCCAGACCCCCCCTCCAGTGATCTGTTCCACCTACACCAGACACAGCGCAACCTTCCTTCAAGCTGTATAGGTAAATGTTGCTCAGAAGTGGCGGGTACAGGTAGACCCATTCGCTTGGTAATATAGAGGGATTTGCTGGCATGAGAATCTGTGAGGGTATGCTCTTCGTCCTTTAGCTGATCAAGTTCACTGGTACGTTTTCGCTTTTTTTGACCTCTTGTAATGCTGTCCAACACCAGACTCCAAGCAACCTGTAGTCTAAATTTCTTATGACTAATAGGTGCGGCAAGGTCATTGAATATAATGAAAGAATCAATCAATGCCGTATCTGTACACCAGAAGAAAATAGGAAACCAAGTTCTTCTTGATATAATTTGAGTATCATAGTAGGCACGATATTGGTCTGCAATATCTACACCACCCATATGATGATTATAATCCTCAATACAAGTAGGTATATTGAGCATAGCCTTCCACTCTCCCTCGGTAAATACTTGAGCTCGCTTGATACCAGCGGAATTGGTACTTTTTGGCCCTGGTTTAAGCCGCTCTTTGATAACCTCAGATTTTCTTCCTTTCAAATGATGAATACTCGTCATCATAGATACAGGTGCATTGTCTATCCATAACATTGTTGCAACCCCGCTCTGTACAACTCCAGCTCGGTAGTGATATGCAAGTTGAGAGAGCGAATTTTTTGGAATAATAAGTTCGGAGGGGTAGTTTTTAGAGGTGGTGCGAACTGTACCACATGCACCTATTCCCTTTCTCCGGAGGAGAGAAACTATAGGCAGATTTGTATAGTAATTATCCATATAGAGATTGAATGAATGATTATGAGGTAATCGTGACGTCATCTCTAAAATGAGGGAATTTGTATCGCTTAGGTGCTCGGAGATTGTTGACTCGGAGAATGCATCAGGACCATACTTGTTGGATGTTGGATGGAAATCGAAAATGTAACCATGATCAGCAGCACAGTGAAATTTAAGACCTTGACGTATAGGCTTGAAAGGTGTCTTGTAGGTGTCTGAGGACCGTCCTGTACATCTGATAATTGCTTCATCGATTGAAATATTCGAGGAAGGAATCCGGTACGACTGAGCAGCATATCTAACTTGGTTGAGGAGGGGATCAATTTTTTGATGCCATAGTTTTTTTCCAGTAGGATCATGAGTTGCAGTATCGGGTGAAGCAATATGTAGATAGCCTTTGATGTCCTCCCATCGTGTTAGGCTCATGTAATGGCATATATCATGCGAAGGTAATAGCCCATCTGTTGACCAATAATCTCTCACTGCAGGTAGACCCACAACTCCCATATATATCACAATCCCAAGCCAGCATTTAATGTCTCTCAATGTAGTATCTTTCCACGCCCTTCCTCTCATATTTTCGAGGCCTTTTTCCACTCTTTTTTGTGCAGCATAATGGTTGGTGTTGACAGAGATAGCCTCCAACAGGTCATCAGTGAAGAATAATTGGAAGATATTTATGGGTTCAATGATGCCAAGATTGCCCAATGCAGGTGGCAACTTGTTGTAGACTTTGTGCAGAGGACGGAGGTGTATCAAAGGCTCAAACCACTGTGCATCTGGCAAAGAAGCTGGGTCAAATGCTGGTGTATAGGAAGGTTTTTTCTTTTTCGAAACGGCCGAGTGATTTTTCGTGATTGAATATTTAGGGATCTTTTTTGTCTTCTCGGAGGATATGGGGGCATTGGAGGGATCAGCTTCATCATCAGAATTGATAGCAGTGTAGGAAACATTGAGATGACGGGGTATGAGAACTCTCTCTGACATTTTATAAAGAGATAATTGATGGAGTTGAATTTGTATGTAAGAATGAGGGTGAATTCATGGTCTATTTAAACTCGAAAAAACAGCCTAGAATTCATGTGGATATGCCTAACTTAATCTCTATTATTGTCTACATCATTGATGATATCATAAAGGGAGGTGGAGGGGGTCCTGTGGCTATTGGTTGCCGTGGCGAAAATACCAATTTTATTCGGGTTCAATTTTGCACCCAAACCCGGTTGCTACGCACGAGGGGATACGGCACACGCAGGAGCCACAGCAACGGTAACAGCACGGCCGTCGGTGGTGGTTACAGAGATACCCAGGTCAACGCGGCAAGCTTGCTAGATGTTCTCTCGAACTGTTGAATGCGTTCATCTCTCATTCACTACTCATTCCTCGTACAGCTTGGTACCAGTAACAAAACTATCCCGCCAAAAAAGGTTCCCAACACAAGACCACCACTCGCCTCTAACTATTCATCACTCAGAAAAATGCTCACTCTCATACCCCTCCCTCGCCATCCGCACCGCCGCCACCGCCTCCACCTCCGCCCTCAGCCTCTCGGTCTCCGCCAACTTCATCTAAACCTCCTTCTCGACCTTCTCCACTTCCGCCTACAAACGCTCCGTGTTGGCCCTGATCCTCTCCGTGTCGCCGCTGCCCCCTCCGCCCGGTTCGTTGTGCGTCACCGCATCCAGATGCGCGCTCTCCGCGAGCTTCGCCGCCACTTGCACCGTGATCATGATCTGGAGCAAGGCGGACTTGCGCTCCTCCGCGGAAAGCAGTGCGTGCTGGCCGGGCGACGTGAGGTGGTTCATCGCATGGGTGGAGAGGGTCAGGAGTGCGACTATCTCAGAGCTGATGGGAGGCTCGTTAGTCGTAGGTGGGTGCAGTGCGCTAATTAGGGTGGGTTGGGGGGGGGGGTAGGGGATACGTACGCGAGTGTCATTTTGATTTTTGGTATTTCAGACGAACTGTGCGGAGGTTAGCGTGTGGGGTGTTGGTTTGTGGGGTGGGAAACAAGCGTTACCTAGCGCATAGGTTGGAGGCCTAATTAACTTACGCGGGGTAGCAACGCTTTGTCATTCATGGTTGGCGCTTCAGCCGCGCGGGGGGCTGACTAAGTAGACAAGATATCTACCTACATGTATCTCTAACACCATTGTATACTGGAGCTGCGCTACGCTTAGCGAGGCCCTGAAGCATACAGTCGACTGTAGTAAAATAACACTTACTCTTCAAGTGCTCGAAGTCGGGCTCTCAAGCCGCTGCGCGGCTTTCGAACCCTCCTTTCTCGCCTTGCAGCTTTGCGGTTTGTAACCGCCAATTTCGAAGGGCAATTGTCAAAATGAAACTTAGGATAAATACGCTCTGTTATGTAAATTCGTAAATCCGTAAATTCGAGTATGAAGTACTTGCGGGGAAATTAAGTAATTCCCTCTGGCTTTACCCATTGATTGTGGTGGTTGGTGGGCTTAAGGAAATGGTGAGATTGATGGTTGCTATCGCGGGAGACAATACTCAATTTCATCGCAACTGATACGGGTAGGATGTCAAACCTCACCTTTGGCCTAACTCTAGACGCAGCTGCCCTTGAATGAGCTGAGCGAGCACAATGATGACTAAAGGAAATGACTAAGCAATGCCTGGTGCCCAGTGCCTGCTTAACCCTGAAGTAAACTTCAGGGCAATGATCTACGGTAATATCTTATTTAATCATGTACTCATTTCTCAAATGACTAGCTCCCACAACCAACAACCTTCCCGCCAGCAACGTTCCTAAGACAAGAAGACCACCACTCCCCTCTAAGCCGCCAGAAACTTCTCCCACTTCGCCTTCGTCTTCAGCCTCTCCTCCTCCACCACCGCCTTTTCCGCCTCCGCCTTCATCCTTTCCTTCTCCACCACCGCCTCCTCTGCCTCCGCCTTCCTCCTCTCCTTCTCCACCTCCGACCACTCCACCCTCCTACCGATCGTCTCCGTCTCCGCCTTCTGCCTTTCCGTCTCCGCCTTCAGCCTCTCCGTCTCGGCCCAGATGCGCTCCGCCTTCAGCCTCTCTGCCTCCGCCCTCAGCCTCTCCGTCTCGGCCCAGATGCGCTCCGTCTCGGTGCACGATGCGACGCGGGCAGCCAACGAATCCACGAGCGCGCCCTCCGCGAGCTTGGCCGCAACATCCACCGTTGCCGCGAAGTGCAGCAGCGCGGCCTTGCGTTCGTCCGCGGAGAGCAGCGCGTGCTGGGCGGGCGACATTTGGTGGTTGAGCGCATTGATGGCGTGTGACAGTAGTGCGGCTGTTTCGGAGCTGGTGCGGGGTGGGGGTCGTGCGTCAGTTGTGGTTGTGGGAGGCGGGGGACCGAGGGGGGAGATACGTACCCGAGTGGCATGATTATGGGAGGTTTTGGATTGCGGTGCGGAGAGGTGGGTGTGTGGTGGTTTGTGGGGTGGGGAAGCTTGGAGCTTGAAGCTTGGAGGTTGGAAGAGCGAGTTGTTACCGCATACCTGGGTTGGAGGCCTGAATTATCTGGGGTTGCAACGCTTTCCTCTTTATGATTGGCGCTTTAACTGCGGGGAGCTGACTAAGTGGACGAGATAAGAACTGGATGAAAACGCTCATATGGTGCGCCTACTCTTAAAGGTGACACGGCGGTATCTGGAAGTGGAACAATCCTGGCTGCAAGGTGAACTCCAAGGCCAATGAGAGGGCTTATTCCTAGCCACTTTGCCGCAATTCACTTTTGAGGGGTATAAATGGGTATAATACTGTTCCACTTTACTCAGTCTTGGCGCCTTTTATATACAAAAATCCGCAACTTCAAACTCCTATAACTTTTTAAGTAAACTAGATATCAAAATCTGGAAAGCAAAACTAAAGTTCATCACTAGTACTACACTTTTTGTTTAACGATTCTTTTTTAATTTTTTTTTTTGGCAAAGTTATAAGCCCTTGACCTTTCACGCATGTTTTAACCGAGTGCGAAGCAACGGAGAAAATCAGACAGTTATAAAGTTACTTTAGACCACACAAGAGATTAAAACGGCATTGCAAATTTGGAAGCAATTTTCGAAGTGGCGACATGACAGAGGAGGGAGAGATGAAGACTGAGAAGAAGATGTCAGAGAAATGGAAAGGGGCTGGGGTCATTTGCGGGACAGCCCGGAAGATTATAAATTGTTTAAAAGTTATTTTCCTTAGGTTATAAGTTACTAGTTTGAGAGTTGGGTTTGTTTTGTTTAGTTGGGTTTTGTTTTATTTTGGTTGTATTGAGAGAGGCGGAGGAAGTGATTGGGAAGTTCCGGGGCAGTGTGATATTGTCATAGACTACGGTCTGCATACAATTAATGAATTAAACAATAAAAAAAAAAGCCCTTGACTTTTCGCCCGATTTTCCTCACCTTTAAGAGTGGGCGCACCACACCTGATAGACACCTCGCCCACTTAGTCAGCCCCCCGGGGACGGCTGAAGCGCCAATCAACCCCGCACGTAATTTAGGCCCCCAACAGCGCTTGTGTAACACCCCGCTCCTACCTTCCCGCGTCCCGCTCACTGCTCTCTAGGACTCCACCACCGCCTCCTCAACGTCCCACCCCACAAAGCACCGCACACCCCAACCTTCGCACACCCCGACCTCCGCACGCCTAGTGTGAAACACCAAAAAAATGTCACTCGTGTACGCACCCACACCCCCCCCAAATCCCCATCATCGCACTACTGCATGCACTGAACTCACCCTACCACCCGCGCACCAGCTCTGAAATACTCATCCAGCTCAGCGACGCCACCGCTGCGATGAACCTCGTAACGACACCCAAACAGCACGCCCTGCTGTCCGCGGAGGAGCGCAAAGCCGTGCTGCTCCAGCTCAGGATGAGCGTCGAGGTGCTGGCGAAGCTCGCGGAGGCCGTGCTCGTAGGCTCGCAGACGCACCACCACGCCGCGGGCGGAACGGGGGCGAAGTAGTTGATCGCCGCGAAGGAGTGTGCGGCGGCGGTGGAGACGGAGGAGACGAAGGTGGACCTGGAGTGGGCGGAGAAACCTTTCAAGAAGAGGCCTGGGTTTGAGTAGTGTTTGGCTTGGCGGCGGTTGTGGCGGACATGGTGTTTGATGCTCATCGATCCCCTGATTGTGTATAGCAAAGGCTTAGGGCGAAGAAGAAATTTGTAGAGCGCGGGTGATGATTGGGCCCTGCACGTATCCAGTCTTCCCCACGGGGACGAGCGCGAGAGGGGTGTGCTGGAATGTAATATGCCGGAACGGCCCCTTCAATAGAATGATTGTTCTGTTTACTTCCGACCGGGAACGTATGTACTATTAAAGGTAAAAAGAGTTCCAAGCCAGAGTACATAGCAGGGAAAAAAGAAACGTAAAGATTTATCTCATTCACTACCCTGGCCTGAATTTAGAGAAATGTAGTAGAGAAGTGTAGTAATTGAGCGTGTTATTCCAACTAACTAGAGGGGGAAATGCCCCATATTTATACTAAAGAAAGGTAACACAAAAACATAGTAAATCATAACCGTATAAGTAAAAAGAAAGACATGACTAATAAATACCAGGGGGGGGGTGGGTCAGGACCCATGACTCATAATGACAAATAAGAATCCTCCAATACTATGAAATGTGCTGAGCGTACTATTTCAAGAGAATTGATAGTATAAATTGAGATTGGGCATCGTGAAATGATTCCGGTTGGTAAGTAACAGGAAAACCTCTAGTTGTATATAAGAGATTAATGCCCTGATGTTTACTTCAGGGTTAAGCGGGCATAGTCGCTCAGCATTTGCTTAGTTATCCTTGAGTGGCCACCGTGCCGAGCAGCCCAAGCTTGAATACAGAACCTTGACTGTCAAGTAGTTATCCTTTTCAATTAGGGATGTTTATAGATGCTCCGTACCATATAGAAATAGCTGTTATCCGTCGACCATGCCCAGGAGTTTAGACCGATGGTCGACGATGCCAGGCAGGGTACACAGTTGATCAGTTGTACGAGCAGTTGTATGGTAGACAATGGGTCAACTGTAGGGTCAGTTCTATGGGTCAACAGTAGGGTCAGTTATATGGGTCCATGCACAGCGTGCTGGCCATACGAACAGCTGAATTGTGAGCTCACATCAGAGCTCAAAAGCAAAAACAGCAACGGAGGTAGGGGTGTATGGGTGGGTATCAATTTCAGGGTGCTATAACACCCTCTCTGCTATAATACTGGCTCTTACTTGTATTTTTGAGCTCAGATATCGCCGGTGACCGCAATATGAGGGTATCGGTTTTGTTGGACTCGCTGAAGTGGGTGGGTTGTGTTATTGATACAGAATGGTGTGGATGGGTGGATACCAGTCTCGGAATGAGGTAATAGTATTTGTGGGCTTATATTGGTGGCAATCAGTATTGGTGATGTCAGATATCTGCTAGAGTTATAACTTAACGGTGCCAGCCTGTAAGAAACAATAACTGTTGGAGTTGTGAGTGTTGTAAAGTACCAACTGTTTCGGCTGCCGAGGCTATGTTAGGAATCGGAACCAACACCTCTTCAATTAGTTGGGTGTAGGGGTGTGGGTACTCTTACGATTGGATTCTTTAAACTTTTAGTGGGTGGGAGGGCTTATTGATTTGCAATACACTCGTGGGCTTGAGGATCCTAGTATATAAGAGCGGAGATTCCGCCTGTATGGATGCTTCTTCCTTTGCCCAACCTTCAATCACTACTCGTCAAGATGTCTCAAGCTGCTATTGCTCGCTCCCTTCCCTTTTCTGAACAGGCACAACTATCCTGGCACGAGTATTTGGGTAGTCCACTCTATAAAAACAGTTCCCGTCCAACCCTAGAGAAGATCCTTCTAGTCAATAGTGTCAAGAATAGCAACGAGGATATACCTGACGTCAATAAGCAACTAAAATACGATGGCAAGGTCAAGTATGACTTTCTTGATGGTCGATTGAGATATCGTGGTAGGACACAGGAAGAGTTTAGATTTGTAGTCAGTGACTACGAAGTGTTTGATCTGGTTGTCAAGACTCACCTCAATCTAGCTCATGCCGGTAGGCAGAAAACCTTTGACGAGTTGGATAGAAGCTATTATGGGATTACGCGGAATGAGGTTGACATACTGCTCAAGCATTGTTCAACATGTGCGGTGAAGAGGTCTCAAACCAGGAAGGCACCAATCAAGCCAATAGTCATCAACAAACTATTCGGAAGGGTGCAGGTTGATCTAATTGATATGTCTTCCAACGCTGACGGTATCAACAAATGGATTTGTCACATGCGTGATCACTTTAGCAAATTCTCACAGGCTTATCCACTCGAAAGAAAGCCCAGCGAGAACGTCGCAAGAGTCGTATGACATTGGATATCACATTTGGGAGTCCCGCGGATTTTGCAATGTGATAATGGTGCTGAGTTCAAAGGTAGTCTGTTGGTTCTTCTTCGCACTTATGGTATTCAGGTAAGAGTTTTACTGGACACAATCCCCGGACAGAAAAGAGAGTGTTAAAATCGATTAGATTATAAACGGGAGGGCACGATATCCACAGAGTCAAGGTATGATCGAGCAGGCAAATGGAGTCGTGAAAGAGAAGATTTCGGCCTGGATGAGAGATCACCAATCCATCCTGTGGACATTGGCCATTCCGGAGGTTATACTAGCTATGAACACGGAGAAGCACACATCGACAGCAAAAGCACCATATGAAATTGTGTTTGGTCAATGAATGCTTGGAGACAGAGTGATCTTCATGGAACGAGAGAATGCAGAGGTGATTCACGAAGAAATGAATGAAACTGAGGACGTGGAGCTGGTGCAGGAAGCTGGGAGTACAGAGAGGTTTGTAAACTATTTCAATTTCTTCGTCTGGAGATATTGAATGAATAGTTTGCTGATAGTTTGAGAATTGAATTGCGTAGAGACGAGACGGTATCAAATTTGAATCCCGAGCTCCTAGCTTTTGATATGCGGGACCAGGACTGATCAAAAATGCATGATGAAGTCAGAAATGCAACTGTTCGGGCCAGAGATCTCATGGTGGCTCGTGATGGAAGACAGAACCCTTTACCCCAATTCAATAATGATGATCTTGTGTCTGTCAAGCTCATGCTAATTTGGCAACGTTGACATTTTAGGGCTATCAAATCAACCATCATGAAAAGCTTGGGGAACCTATGGGAGTGGCTGGTAATGATCCCAGACGTTCCTACTCCATAGGTTTGGAGGTTATTGCACCCGAGTTACTGAAGGAGTTTATAATGGAGGATATAGGTGTCTGTAGTGAAATGGCTTGGAAAGTCCTGAAAGATGATGACGCCGTTGAGGAGAGTAAATGGGGAGCATACAAAGCTATAATAAAGGGCTCTACGAGAAATACCAGACATGTGAGAAGCAGCACATTTCCACGAAGAGGGGGAGGTAACAGCAGAGGCAGAGGTCGCGGCAGAGGCAGACGTTGATATTCTTTTATAAGAACATGTACTTGGAGAAATTGCATGATGGTTTATAGAACATCCACTAGCATATGCAGTTCTGGGGCGTCCACAGAGTGTACAGGATAAGTAGAACAATAATAGGAGTAGGACAGCAGTTCTGTGTTGCTGACATCGATCCCGGGGGGAGTAGAGCTGCACTGGGCAGAGAGCGACAGTCTTGGGGCAAGCAGATAGCTCCTGAGGAGAGCATGATGATTCTGGGGTGAGTACAGATTGTCTTGGGTATGTACAGGAACTAATAGAGCTCCTAGGGTGGGCAGAGAGCTACTAGAGCATGTATAGCTATACTAGGGTGAGTCCAGCTATCCTGGGCCGAGCCCCGTTCTCCTGGGGTGACCACAGCTATCTTTCTACATGTACAGGTACTCCTAGAGATCTTGGAATGGGTAAAGCTGTACTGAAATGAGCAGAGAGCTCCTGGGGCATATACAGCTGTAATGGGGTAAGCCCAGCTGTCCTGTGGGGAGTAGAGCTTTCCTGGGTCATGTATAACTTGACAGGGGTGAGTACACAAAGTGGTAGAGATCTGGGGGTGAGTACAGCTGCACTGAGGTAGGAGGAGCTATCTCTTGTTACCACAGAGCTTCTGGGACGTGTGGATAGCATCTGCGGCGAGTGCACGAGCGCACGAGCTTATACAGTCCCTGTGGCAAGAACATAGCTACTGGGGCAAGTCCACAGCTCCGGGGACCACTATAGCTCTACTTGGACGACTCCAGGTATCAGTGGAGCTCCCTTGACGATTACAGCTGTCCTGGAGCAAACAGATAACTGCTGTAGTGGGCGTAGGACCTTGCCATGCTGCTGGGACGAGTGCAGGAGCTTACCATACTACTGGTGTGGGTCCAAGTGTTCTGGGGTGGGTGTAGGAGCTCGCTACACAGCTGGGGCGAGCTCAGGAATCCTAGGGTGAGTGCAGGAGATTGGGGTACCGTCAGGGCAGAAGGCCAATCATCAGGTATCACTCGATATGAACAAAAAGACTGCATCGACTTCCACCAGCTGTTTATCCTTTTCGCGACCCCACTCACGTGTAATGTGGGGTTGAGCTAATTTGTATAAACAGCTGGAGATTTATGCCTTACCTCCAGAGGGATAAATTCATGGTACAGTAATCGGAGAACCCTCTTATTTATTGGCAAGGCGTCTATCCATTCTGTGTGGACAATATGACGCACCTTTGAGGCCCTCAATTATATATCGTGCGCCGCTGACCTGTTACAGGTCGGATTTGCACCCCAGATACTCCAACATATGTCAGATGTTTCTACTACTACACTAGGTACCGGTAGCTGTCTTCTATTTGCAGGAACTACATGTTAAAGAGTAGCACCGAACCTTAACTATTCCTTGCAAACCTTAATCCCCTTCCTCAACACTACTCCCAGCCTGCGTTAGTACAGTGAAAGCTTGCTATAATGGTACCTTCTATAAGAGTAATCTTTCTATAACGGTAGCACTTCTCGGTCCTTTTTGCCCCGATTTTAGTACAATCACCTCTTATATAAGGGTAATCTCTCTATAACGGTACCAAATTCCACTCCCGAGCGTACCGTTATAGCAAGCTTTCGCTCTACTGACAACAACACCACCTATTCGCCAATCTTGAACAGAGTCTTCGTTATAGATGGAGCATCCTATCCGGACTACAAAGTAAGCGGGTTATTAGAGTGATATCCCATGACTGACGACCGGGCTTTCTTGGTGAACGGTTGAACCTTTCACCAAGTTCAACCCGCTGGCCAGCAGGGCGCCCCGTTGGCCAACTTGGCGGATAGGGCGCTCCCTTGGCCGGGCGAGCGTCTTGGTCAACCGAGCAGAATATTATTCACCCTGTAGCACTTCGCGATGTTCTATATGAAATCGGAACACGTACTATCGGTGAACGTTCCTGGACAGGACAAACTATGCGAGAGCGTTCTTGAATTGTAAATACTATACAGGAAGACTTCTCAATTGTACGAACTATTCACTAAACCGACGCCATCATTGGTAGTATGACATTATTGTACAGTTCGGGAACGGAGAACATCATTTAAGCTTGAAATTATAGTTAATGCTCGATGTTTCCGTCATCAATGTGATTTTCTCCTCCCCTCCTCCTAGTTAAGGTTTACTAATTCTCACTAAAGAGTACTGAGTACGGTGCTTGTTATAGCTAGATAATTAGGGGTGTGGTTTTCTATATCAACGCCTAAAGACCAACAAGTATTGAGAGGCTATATGGTAACTATATGTAGTTGTAGATGCGCTAGGTGTTGGGTGTACGCCTAAACTATTATATTAGTATTCGGGGCTTCATATGATCTGCGTGTCCGTATGGTGTTAAGTGTGCGCCTAGCGCGGTGGGGTCTTTCTCTGCTAACCTCATGTGAAAATACTCCGACCTATAGAGATACATGTATGTATCCTGCCCACTTGGTCAGCCCCCGCGGCTGAAGCGCCAATCACGGGAAAGCGTTGCAACCCCGCATAATTCAGGCCTCCAACCCAAGCGCAGGCAGATAAGTCGGCATCACAACCTACAACCTCCTCTCACAACCGCCACGCTTCAAGCTCCAAGTTTACTTCCCACCCACAACCCACCACACACCCATCTCCTCCCGCAATCCAAAACCCCCCCACAACCATGTCACTCGGGTACGTTCCCCCCCCCCCCCCCTCCTCCTCCTCCCACAACAACCCCACTGCCCCCCCTCCCAGCACACGGACAGCCGACCTCCTCGTCCTCGCCACCCAGGCGCTCGCCCACCAAACCTCCGCCGGCCAACACGCGCTGCTCTCCGCCGACGAGCGCAAGTCCGCGCTGCTGCAGCTGATGGTGACTGTCGAAGTCGCCGCGAAGCTCGCGGAGGTGGCGCACGTGGAGGCGCTGGCGCAGCACGCCGCCTCTGGCGGGGCGGAGCGGGGCGACACCGAGGCGGTGACGGAGCGGATCCGCGCCGAGACGGAGCGGATGAAGGCCGAGGCGGCAAAGATCGCGCGGGAGGTTGAGAGGGCCGTGGCGGAGACGGAGCGGCTCAAGGCGGAGGAGGGGGTGGTGGGGAGGGAGGCGGAGCGTGTGGGGAGAGAGGTTGAGAGGACGGTGGCGGAGCGGGAGAGGACGAAGGTGGAGGCGGAGAAGATTGGGAGGGAGGTTGAGAGGACGGTGGCGGAGCGGGAGAGGACGAAGGTGGAGGCGGAGAAGATTGGGAGGGAGGTTGAGAGGACGGTGGCGGAGCGGGAGAGGACGAAGGTGGAGGCGGAGAAGATTGGGAGGGAGGTTGAGAGGACGGTGGCGGACACGGGAAGGTTGAGGGTTGAGGTGGAGAGGGTTGAGAAGGAGGTTGAGAGGTCGGTGGCAGAGACGAAGAGAACGAAGGTGGAAACGTAGAGGGTTGGGAAGGAGGTTGAGAGGACGGCGCAGGATACGGACAGGCTCAGGGTGGAGGTGGACCGCGTCCAGAGTGAGAAGGCGAGGACCGAGGCGGATACGGACAGGCTGAGGGTGGAGGTGGACCGCGTCCAGAGTGAGAAGACGAGGACCGAGGCGGATACAGAAAGGCTGAGGGTGGAGGTGGACCGCGTGAAATATGAGGAGGTGAGGACCGAGGCGGAGACGGAGAGGCTGAGGGTGGAGGTGGACGGCGTGAAGAATGAGAAGTGGAGGACCGAGGCGGATACGGAAAGGCTGAGGGTGGAGGTGGACCGGGTGAGGAGTTTGAAGGCGAGGACCGACGCGGAGACGGAGAGGCTGAGGGTGGAGGTGGACCGGGTGAGGAGTGAGACTGAGTTTCAGAGGGTGCTTAAGCGTTAGAGTGCGCTGGTGGTCTTATCTTGTGAATGTTTCTGGCGGATAGCTTTGTTTGTGAGAACCAGCAATTTAAGAAATGAGTACATGATTAAATGAGTTTTTGGTGTAGAATATAACTACAAAGGTGTTAGAGATCTGTGCATTCAAGTACCGTAGTGCTACTTCTAGTGCTCATCTGGAAAAGTCGCCATGAGAAACAAACATGAATGCATTCCGCCGTGAACGCCGCCAAGGCAAGACTTCTACCGCGGACACCGTAGATCGTAGGCGTCTTGCGGCGTGTATTAAACCGTTTTGAGCCAACAGAAAAAAAAAATCGGCAAATAAAAAGATCAGCGTCCACTAGCTGGAGAAAGTACTCGCGCTGCCGGATTGAAGCCGCTCAGACAAAAAAGGTAATTGATCTGAGCACTGCAAAAACGTGAGCTCTTATTGGCTGCCAGATCACTCACTACAGTTCTTTGAGCGGCTTCAAACCGGCCGCGCGAGTAGGTATGATATTTTCTACGCCGCTCACAGTGGCCACTGCAACGGTATCAAAAGTACAACCGCGAGAGAATGGCTCTTAACTGTGTCAATTAACCTGATCACCCCAACCTCGTATAGCAGGTAGATCTTTTTTTTGTTGCAACGGAAGGTGGCTTAAAATGTCGATTAGCCCCAACTAGCATAGATTGATAAGGGTCAGGGCTAGAGACAGGAACACAGTGACGGCTAGCGTAAAGAGAAGTTGACAGCTGCAGCTTAATTGTACCTAACTAGCGAGAAATTACCCTCCTCTCCTTTTCCTCCCCTCAACGCTCCTCTATCACTAAAACAAACAAAGCAACTACAACCAGCCTCTCGGACACACTTCACCCCCGACCAAAGTACCCCACGTTCAACTCCTAGACGGCCTCGATAACTTTAGCCCAGTCCCCCGCCTCCTCCGCCCCGCCTCCGTGACGTCTATGGCCCCCCATACAGCGTCCCAATCCACCTCCACCCGCCTCCTCTCCATCTCCGCCACCGACCCCCCAGCCTCTCCCCCCACCCCCTCCAACCCTCCCACCCCAGCTCCAGCCCCCACCTCCCCCGTCCTCGCCACAGCACCTACCTCCGCGGCGAGTGTCTGCGCCCCCGTCCCCTCAGCCTCTCCCCCCACCTCCTCCCCCACCTCCTCCCCAGTGAGCGTGTCCACCCCCGTTCCGACCAGCTCGTGCTGGCGCGTCACCGCATCCACATACACAGCGTCCGCGAGCTTCGCCCCCGCCTCGGTCGCGACCATGAGCTGGCGCAGCGAGAACGCGCGCTCCTCCGCGGAGAGCAGGGCGTGCGTGGTGGGCGTTGTGAGGTGCAGGAGCGCGTCGACGCTGCGGTGGAGGAGGGCGGCGGTGTCGGTGCTAGTGGGCGTTAGTTGTGAGGTGAGGTTGGGGAGGGGGGGAGGGGGTACCCGAGTGTCATGGTGGTTTTGCGGGGTTTTGTGGAGTTGGGGTGGAGTTGGGGGTGGGGAGGTGGGCGTGCAGGTTACTAGAGTGGGTTGCCTGGGTTGTTGCAACGCTTCACTCTTTGGTGGTCGTCCGATTGGCGCTTCAGCCGCGGGGCTGACTAAGTGCACGAGATATGTATGGTGCGTCCAATCATAAAGGTAGTCAAAAAATTGGGGCGAGGTCGAGGTAGTATAACTTTCCAACGAAATAAATTATGAAAAATCTGGTTGGTTAAATTGAAGTACTAGTGATGAAGAAGAATTTTCCCAACCAGATTTTTGATATCTCTCCTGGTTAAAAGGTTATTCAAGCTTGAAATTCGGTATTTTAGTATGTAAAATGCGCCAAGCAATCACAAAGTGGAACAGGCTTGGCAGTAGGGTAACTGCAACCTCACCACACCTCAACTACACCTTTACACACCCAAAGATGGTAGGCAACAACACAACCAGTTTTCAAGAGTAAAATTCATAATTTTGGGAGGTTATCCAGCTAGATACTGTGAAAAGGACTTGTCTTAATCTCGAAAACTCGTAGAGTTATGGTGCATAGAGTAAGGGGACAATAATGTTGCATCCCTATCATTCCCAGCCCCATAGCAACCACCCCCACCAAATAATTTTGAGCACAACAACCACACAAGATATTATTCTCCTCTTCGGGAACATAGTAAATAAGATGTAGCTTAACAATATAGAATCCTGAAAATAATTTTAAATTAAGTAAATAATGATTTCTAGCCTTTTTAACAATGAAAATACAAATCCTATCCCTATTTGTGCATGTAAAAATTCATTTTAACTTTTCTATATACTTTTAAGCTAACCGACTATTACCTCCCAGAATTACAAATTTAACTCTTGAAAACTGGTTGTGTTGTTGCCTACCAGCTTTGGGTGCGTAAAGGTGTAGTTGAGGTGTGGTGAGGTTGCAGTTACCCTACTACCAAGCCTGTTCCACCAACCAAACCTGACTTGTCACCTTTTGTCACCTTTATGCGTGGGCGCACCATACCTCTCTCATGTAGGTAGGAGTGTTTTCATTCATCTCTTATATATAAGAGTCTTTTCGCCAACGGCCGTGAGAGTCGTTAGCACGAAATTAAAATACCCAAGACTCTGTTGCGTATCATATATCACTTTTCGACTATCGTGCTTAAGCATACGCTGTCAAATACTTAGAGTACCGGTCCTTAGAATTATTCTTTGGGAGTATTTCTCATACCATACAGGCCAAGGTTCCCCCTAATACATGCAGGCGGTCTTGGGTATTTTAATTGTAACGGCAGTGAAGCGGGTTGGCTATGTGAGTTGTCTGGGTATAAGGGAGAAGGATTATGTAGTGTGGTTGGGTTTAGCGAAGCGGGTTTCTATTATGTTCTGTTTGTTTCTGTTATGTGAGGGTATGAGTCAGCATTGGGATAGGGTATGGATATATAAGGGGGGCGTTGTCTTGTGATTTCTTGTTTCTCTTTCTTTCTCTTTTCTCTTTACGCAACCTCTGTATTTCACAGTTACGAATACTATTTGGTTCGCGCTACGTCATAGAGTTTACCCGGTATACTAGACCAGGTACGACCACCCATAGTCCATAGTCCACGTTCCCGCCTTGGTAGCAAACCTCGGCTCCATAGTCTATAGTCCACGAACCTCCTTACGTCTACGTCGTCGCCTCGGTTGTATTCCTTGACATCATCGTCCATCGCCCATAGTCCCCGTTACACTTAGGTTGCGTCCTCTATCGCCAACCAATACAACACCACGTTACTTAGCTCTGGTCGCGACTATGTCCGACACTACTCAGGATACGCTATTGCAGCGCCTTTCAGAATTTCTGACCACATATGGTCCCCTCCCAACGGATATAGACTTCGGTGATGAACTTACCGAGGCCCATAATCTTATTGCTGAATGTTTGGAGGCTTTTACCAAGCCTTCCGAAAACCCCGAACCCGTTATCGACACGGCCCAAGAAGAGGTCATTATCGGCCTCACCAAGGAACTCGAAGCAGCTGACGAAAAGGCTGCCGATCTATTGCAAACCTTGTCCGAATGCCAGGAAGACTTTACCGAGACTATCCGGGGCCGCGATGAAGTTATCGTTGCTCTCAAGGGCGAGCTTGAGGAGTCTAAGGCCGAGGAGGAGGAGCTTCAGTATCGCCTGGCACTACATCAGGAAAGTCTCGCCATCGCTGACGAGAACCTCGCTGATGCTGAAGATGAGATTCTTCACATCACCTCTGTTGCAAAAGCCTGGGAGGCCTAAGCTAATGCCATCATCGCTGATCTTCGTTCTCGTGTTTCTACCGCCACAGTCAAACATCAACGCCGACATGCCTCCACCAAATCTCGTTACTTATCCCCTCACTCTCAAGATCCCCGTACCATTAGCAATTGGCGAGAAAGGCCAATTGAACATGTGTCTCCAAAGCCGGCGCTAAAAGGTCAGCCCCTTTGGTAGAAAATGGCAAACCAAAGGGGCTAGCCCCGCCACCAGTCTCTATTATTTCTGCTGCTGCCATGTCTGAGGACAAGATGTCCGAAGACTCTCTTGTCGTTACCTGCTCAGTTTCTCAGAATTCTGACTCTTTTATACCCACCTATGCCCTTATTGATACCGGAGCCTCTGGATACGCTTTTATTGATGAATCTTTAGTATGCCACAATAATCTCACAATGACCCACCTTAAAGTACCTCGTCAGGTAGATGTTATGGATGGGAGGCCTATTGAATCAGGAAAGATCACTCATATTGTCAATGTGTCGCTGGATATCCATGGTCATCGGGAAACTACATCATGTTTTGTAACGAAGCTGGGACACTATCCAATTGTGATGGGAATACCTTGGATGAGACGTCACGATGTTACCATTTGGCCGAAGGAAAATTTACTTGTTTTTGACTCTCAAAGCTGTTGTCAACACTGTTCACTCAGTGGAACGACAGTCATTGTCCATGGAATATCGATCCCTCTACCGGAACATCATACTGTTGTCATTTCAGCAGTTGAGAAATCCACCTTCGAAGTCAAGCAACTAGTACCAAAGGAGTTTCACCATCGTCTCCATATGTTCCAAGAATATGATGCTTCAGTCCTTCCACCACATCGGCCGTCACATGATATTGAGATCGTATTGGAGGAAGGTAAACGACCACCGCACGGACCGATATATGGATTATCCCAGGTTGAATTAAAAGCACTACGGGAATACCTTGATGAAAACCTACCTAAGGGATTTATTCGGGCCAGTGAGTCACCAGCGGGAGCACCTATACTGTTCGTAAAGAAAAGTGATGGGACTCTCCGGCTCTGTGTGGATTATCGAGGTCTTAATGCAATCACGGTCAAAAATCGATATCCGTGACCATTGTTAAAGGAAACCCTGGCCAAGTTATCAAGAGCGCAATACTACACCAAGCTGGATCTACGTTGGGGATATAACCAAATCAGGGTAGCCGAGGGAGACGAATGGAAGACGGCGTTCAGGACTCGTTATGGACATTTCGAGTATACTGTAATGCCGTTTGGATTAGCGAATGCCCCTGCCACATTTCAACACTGGATCAATGATATTCTACGTCCTTACCTCGATCAATTTGTAACGGCATATCTGGATGATATTCTGATCTATTCGGAGACTCTGTCGGAGCACAAAGAGCATATTCAGAAGGTTCTGAAGGTACTTGATGAGAATCATGTTCACCTTAAGCCTGAGAAATGCGAGTTTATGGTTCAGGAAACAAAGTATCTCGGCCTTATTCTCACCCCGGATGGGAATAGGATGGATCCGAAGAAGGTTGTCGACGTGTTAGAGTGGTCTACACCGCAGAACCTTCATGATGTTCAGGTATTTTTGGGATTCGCTAATTTCTATCGACGGTTTATCCTAGGATACTCAAAGATTGTTGCCCCACCTACGGCTTTAACGAAGAAAAATCTTTAGTTTGAATGGACGGATAAAAGGGAGGAAGCATTCCAGACATTGAAAAAGATGTTTACCACGGCACCCATATTAGCGCACTTTGATCCGAATCGGAAAATCGTAGCAGAAACCGATGCATCCGACTATGTTTCTGCTGCAATCCTGTCCCAACGTGATGATGAAGGAATTTTACATCCAGTTGCTTTCTTCTCAAAGAAGCATTCCCCTGCGGAATGCAACTATGAAATCTATGACAAAGAACTTCTGGCAATTGTACGATGTTTTGAGGAATGGCGACATCATTTGGAAGGGGCACAATTCCCAATCGAAGTCCTCAGCGATCATAGGAACCTCGAATATTTCATGTCAACAAAGTTATTAAACCGTCGACAAGCCCGTTGGTCGGAATTTCTTTCACGTTTTGATTTCGTCATTCAATTTAGACCAGGGAAACAAGGGGCAAAGCCAGATGCATTGACTAGGAGGTCGGGTGACCTACCTAAGGAGGGGGATGAACGGTTGACGCATCAAAGCCAGGTGGTTTTGAAGCGAAAAAATTTGAATTCAAAGCTAAGTTTGTTCGCGGGTTCTTTTTCAAATGAATCCGCTGAAGGAATGTCCACTGTAGAAGAGTTGTTTTTAAATGCTTACCAAATTGACAGTTTCCCGAATAAAGTACTCGCGATGCTTCGGAACGGCGTCCGTCACTCGAATAAGATCTCGCTTGCCGAATGTACGGAAGATAATAACGGTCGGCTACTTTACCGTGGCGCACTCTATGTACCGGATGTCAACGACCTTCGGCTAAGACTTCTCAAAGAATACCATGACAAACTATCAGCAGGACATCCTGGTAGAGCGAAGACCCTAGAGCTTTTGAATCGAGAATACTACTGGCCACAAATGCGAAAGTATGTCGACCAGTATGTTAGGAATTGCAATGTGTGTGCCCGTAGTAAGGCACCACGTAATGCGCCTTATGGAGTACTCCATCCCATGCCAATACCTGATGGACCGTGGACGGATGTGTCAATGGATTTTGTCACCGATCTCCCCGAAAGCAATGGGTATAATGCGATTCTAGTTGTGGTAGATAGACTAACCAAAATGCGACATCTAATACCAACAACTAAGGAGGTAGACTCGAGGGAAGTAGCGAGGCTGTATATCGATAATGTTTGGAAGCTACATGGACTACCTAATACCATGGTTTCCGATCGGGGAACTCAGTTCGTTGCAGAATTCTGTAGGTCACTATGCGATCGTCTGAAAATATTACCAAAGTTCTCTACTGCGTTCCACCCTCAAACGGATGGGCAGACGGAGAGGATTAATGCCGTGATGGAACAGTATCTTCGGAGTTATGTCTCCTATCAACAGGATGACTGGGCTCGATGGTTACCAATGGCCGAATTCGCAACCAATAACTACGCTTCGGAAACAACAAGAATTTCTCCGTTTTATGCCAATTTGGGAAGGAATCCAAGAATGACTTTCGGCCCTCTGGAACATGATAAGACGACAGCGGAAGACCAAGCAAATACCATTGCACGAGAGATGAAGGAGATACTAGACGTTTTACGAGCTGAATTGTTCCGAGCACAAAGGATTCAAGAAGAGTCGGCCAATATAAGTCGGACTCCAGCGCCCCACTATCGTATGGGGGATAAAGTTTTCCTATCGACCCGCCATGTCCTCACCAAACGACCCTCGAAGAAACTCGATTGGAAGCGTATTGGACCATATGTCATTAAGCGAATTGTTAATCCCTATGCCTACGAATTAGAACTTCCCCATTCTATGAAGGTCCATCCTGTGTTTCATGTTTCGTTACTGTCGCCGGAAGCCATTGATCCCCTACCGGGTCAGCAACAATTGCCGCCACCCCCAGTCGAAATTGAAGGTCAAGAAGAATGGGAAGTCGAAGACATTTTGGATTCCAGAAACCGTCGGGGAAGGTTTGAATACTTGGTAAAGTATATTGGTTATGATGAAGCTTCGTGGCAGCCATTGTCGGATGTCGAACACTCGCCCGATGTCGTCAAACGATTTCATGAATGTTACCCACGGAAGCCTAAGCCTACCAGGAGGTAGGCCTTAGAGGGGGGAGTGGTCTGTAACGGCAGTGAAGCGGGTTGGCTATGTGAGTTGTCTGGGTATAAGGGAGAAGGATTATATAGTGTGGTTGGGTTTAGCGAAGCGGGTTTCTATTATGTTCTGTTTGTTTCTGTTATGTGAGGGTATGAGTCAGCATTGGGATAGGGTATGGATATATAAGGGGGGCATTGTCTTGTGATTTCTTGTTTCTCTTTCTTTCTCTTTTCTCTTTACGCAACCTCTGTATTTCACAGTTACGAATACTATTTGGTTCGCGCAACGTCATAGGGTTTACCCGGTATACTAGACCAGGTAAGACCACCCATAGTCCATAGTCCACGTTCCCGCCTTGGTAGCAAACCTCGGCTCCATAGTCTATAGTCCACGAACCTCCTTACGTCTACGTCGTCGCCTCGGTTGTATTCCTTGGCATCATCGTCCATCGCCCATAGTCCCCGTTACACTAATTTAGTGTTGACACCTCTTACGGTTTGTAGCGAAAGGACTCTAATAGAGAGGTTTTGCTGTGGCCGTCCGATATCGAGTGCGTTTGCATGCTGCAAGGAAGTTGTCTATGAGGGCGAGAATGAGAGAGTAGAGGTTTTGCGCACCTGCATCCGCTTATGCGCCGAGGCCTGCGCTGAGCACCCAAAAACCGTTTTGGTGTGGTCGCGCTGGGGTGCTGGTGGTCGCGCTAGGGTGCTGGTGGTCACGCTGTTGTGCTGGTGGTCGCGCTGTTGTCACGAATCATGTTGGCGTTCGCCACTTTTGTATTTGGATCATGTTCGCGTTAACCACCCTTTATAATATGGATCATGTTCGCTTTCACTCACTCATCTCAACTCAACCTCACAATGCCGACCTCAAAGCCAAATACTCAGGCTGCCCCTTATGGCTATACAGATACAGGCAGAATCAGGAAGAAGCCTTTGAAATCCTCAGTCCCACTTCCAGTTCAAAATCAAAACCTTTATGAGAAATGGAGGGGTAACCGTACAAAGTTCCAACAATACCCAGCATGTTTTAAAGACCTCAGTCACCGGCCTGATTCCCATATAGCTGTTTGGCAACATCTACTCTATTTTGCTACCAAAGATCCAAAACCTCAAGAAGTTCATGATGCCCTTAAGAAAATAAGGGATCAGAAGCCCTCGGGTATGTACTCTCTCTACATCCATTACTAATATCTGCTATATCTGCTAACTGGCAGCCAAAAAGCGGAGAAAAAAAAGCATGAAGAGAGAATTAGTTCTGCGGAATGGAGATCTAGGAATCCAGAGAAAGCTAAGCGAGCTTCAGTTAAATTTGCAATAAAGCTGAAAATTGAGAGAAATTTGAAGCGTTTGGGAGAGTTTTCAGAGGAAAAGTGAAACAAATTGCTTGAGGAGAAAATAGTGGAATGGGATTCAAACAACTAAACGTACTAGTAGTGGTTTTGATAGTCAATTGAGTAGTATTAACTGCATATAAATCGCGTTCATGGTCGCAACCAAAAAGACAACAACAACGCGATCACCATCATACTTGACGGACAAAGGGAAACAATATGGAATAGAACCTTACTCCCTTACAACAGTCAGTGCAGCGCGTATTTGGCTCTGCCTATGCAGCTCTCTCTGTTGATGATATAAATCAAAACTTGAGTATTGTAACCGGGGAATCAATCACAGTATCAAGCTGTCCTCCGCAACGCTATCAGTCCCCAGTGATTGCCGACACCCAAAGTAGTAGTAAGTGATTACGCTGTACAATTACTGAGGGTGAAAAAGTAGTGCTCATGCGCTTATGTGTTGACTACCAGGCGGAGCATGTACAGGGAAAGAACAGTGGTTTTTGGCTCTTGATTTCTGAACTGTTGGAACAAAAGTCGGGTGGTGTAAAGCTCAAGGACCCGCAAAAGACAGTTAGTTTGATAGTCGCACGAAGAAGAGCTGAAGTACGTATGCAGGAAAGGGAAAGTGGTAGGTTAATCTCATAACTATGATTTTTTGATCGTCATTAGTTGATAAATTGATCTTTTAGGTACTGTTCAACGGGAAGATGAACTGACGCAAAAAATTGATGCTTGGATTGCACATGAGGACCAATTGGAGAGAATGGAATCGGACGCTGCTAAAGGAAATTCAGCTTTGGCTAAAGAAGCAGAGGAAGCGGCAGTCCATCGTCGCAATATGTTGGTCCCCTTAGGTGAAAAAAGGAACAGGGACGGGGAATTAGATTCTGATAGGGAGGAAAGTGATGAGAGTGTTGCGAAAGAGGTTAGAAAAATGAGAAAGAAGAGGAGACCTGTTATCAGTAGTGAGCGTTCTGCTGATACACTGGCTGTTGTTGCTGGGGTGGAGAGTTTGGGTTCCGGTATGGTAACAGCTGTTCGTGAGCTTGTGGCTTCTAGACAACCACAAGCTCACCAGCTTGTGGCTTCTAGACAACCACAAGCTCACCAGAATGAACGCATTGATGGGAAGTTCTAGGAATTACAGGAGCAGTTGGCAAGGGAAAGAGAGGAGGATAGGATAACAATAGAGCGACAAAGAAATGAAGACAGGATGGCGGAGGAAGCACGCAGTACAGATTTCCTCTCTCATATTTTAGGGAAACTTGATGAGCTCAAAAAACTTTAGATATATATACAAATAATATCTTTAACCCAAATACTCCTCCAATGTCGGCGGTTGACAATCAAATCGTTGGCTTGTTTGATTACCGTATATACAGCTATGTACATTTGCAAGTAAAACAGATACAGTAAAGTATGCTGCGACAGGAGAAAGACCTATTTTGAGATTACTTTTATATCCGTTAAACCCCCATAATGTCAAAACTTTTCCAAAACTATGCTCAACACTAACCCGGAAACCTGACATTAATGCGTTGACCTCTTGTAATACTGGATTCAGTGAACGATGGGGGAGAGCTCTGTAGGCACTCATAACGCCATATGAAAGTGAATATGCAGGGTCTCCATATAAATAACAGCAGTCCTCTGCTCTTTGACCGATATGGAGTTCTCGTAAACGTTGTTGTAACCCTGATTCCATATACATGCTCCAATCACCGCGACTTCCTGGCCAAAGTCCCGTAAAATGACTGATAATACCATCGGGGGTCGTTGCTGCTTGAAATTTGATTGAATGACATTTTTTGTATCCAGAATAATAAAGTCTCTGATTTTCCGTAGGGCGACATATTGCTCGCATAGTACCATCAATAAATACCCATATATTTCCTACTCCGAGTCCCGCCGTTTGTTGAATTACATTGGCGTATCTGCGAATTGCTTCAGGTGTAAGTCGCTGTTGATCCCAATCCAGTCTATTCAAATACCGATTGAGTAGGTATGTAATGGTGTCGTTAAAAACAACTGACAGCCAGGAGCGGGACTTTTGGAAAAGATACATTATTTCCTTATACCGGCAGGGTACGGAGAGTCTGTAGAGAACAAGACACATTGCTGTTTCTGGAGTGCATGTGTATTTTACCCTCAAGTTCATTTCCTCCAAGTTGAAGAACCGCAACATATGATGAATATCGTAATGAGTAAATCTGTTTGACATTGTTAGGTGGGAATTGAATCGGACTAGCCTGAGTACATGCTTACCGGAAAAAAGCTAAACAGTAGGCTTCACTCAAAAGGTCTAGGTCAAACGGGATGCCAATCGCGATTTCCAATGGTTCCCGGTACTCTGAAACATCCTGATCATGACCCCGAGTGTAAAGGTGTAGGCAAAGAACTCCAGCAACACTCGCTACTGTAGTAGAAAGTAATACAATAACATCCTCCTCTACAGCCTGATCACTCATTGCTGGTCTATCGATATCGGTTACCGTTTTGAAGATGTGAGGATTACTGTCTCGCTACGCACCTCGACGCATTATTACTGTGAGTATCACTTGCTCGCCACTCACCTTGGCGCATTATCAGATGCTATTCTACATCCGCTTATGATATACTCATGCTTGGTATCCGATAACGAAAATGATTGACCTACACTGCATATATGCAAATATGCATGACTTCACTATGCGAAAACCCCGGTCTCGGCCGCAGCAAAACCTCTCTAATAGGTACTACTTCGCCAATATCTGGCATGCGGCAAGCACCCTTTCCGCGGTAAATGCCGCCAAGGCAAGACTAATCTACATGCTACCCAGACCCGCACCATATATAGGTCGTAGACACCGGCCCAAACCTACCCGAACTCTCAAACACACTCTAAAACCCCGTCTCAGCCTGTTTGGGAAAATGCCAATGCTAAGCGATAGTTCTGTAGCTTTTAAACTTGTAATATTGTAAACCGGATTCCGCTCGCTGAGTGACTGATGTTGCCACTAAGACGAGGCAGAACCCTCCCTATTTATACATATTGGAACCTATGCCAAGGCCCGCTTTCTAATACTAAAGAGATAACGACAATAGAATAAGATAATCAACCCGAAGATAACCCCAGTAGAAAAGCGCCCCCGCATAGTCCCATTCCTCCATTCTAATTCCGACACGTAACCATAAACCCCGCAATTGCCAGTAACCGAGCTGTATCATGCTATTGCCCTAGAGCTACTTCCCTAAGTAGAATGGCCTGCAGCCATAAGCCCCGCTTCTATTCCGTTCCGGGTGAGACACCCAATAGTAAGCGTGCCCTCACAACAGCCTAATACTAGTGTGGTTGCACCCGGTGCCCCCACACCCCTCGGTACCTTTCTATGCTGGTTCCCTCGTTACCCAGCCGTACTCGCATCACAACCCATCACTCATATTATCCTTGTTCCTTGACTTAGGAGCAGTGTTCGTATTTCCTGTAACACAGCCCTCACTCAACTTCTACACCGAGCCCAACCACTCTCTCCGTCTCCACCACCACTGACCTTTCAACCCCCGCTTTCGTTAAATGGTAGGAGTGCGCAGGTGCAGGATTACTGGATAGAGTTTGAGAGCATTGTAAATTGATAACAATCTAACTAAGTCGTGGCCTCTCTTCTTATACCTGTCTTCCCCTCCCGCCCGTTCTTTGCCCCATTCCGTTCGTCAAGGACGCAGGGAGCATTTATTCTACCTGGGGCCGCGATCAACTCCAATTGTGGACGTACTCGTCCGCTGCGACGGCGGTATATACTGCGGCCAAACCCTCGCCGTCTTCGCCGACACCACGCTGATTGGCTCAACCTCCGTCTTCGCCGGAACCAACCTGACCGGCTCAACCTCCGTCTCCATCGTCTCCGCCACAGCGGCGCGTGTGCTCACCCCCGTTCCCAGTCCGCCCGACGTCACCGCATTCACATGCACGGCCTCAGCGAGCTTGGCCCCCGCCTCGGCCGTCACCTGGACTGTGTGCAGCGCGGTCTTGCGCTCGCCCTCGGTCGTGCGGCCGTGCTGCGCCGGCGAGAGGATGAATGTCAGCGCGTCGAGGTTCTGGCGGAGGAGGCCGATAGTTTCGGTGCTGGGTTGTTAGCGGGCGTGGGTTGGTGGTGGGCGCGGAGGGGATACGTACCCGAGTGTCATGTTGTTTGGTGTTTCGGACTCGCCGTGTTGAGAGCGGGGTTGTGGGGTGGTTCGTGGTGGGGTGGGGAGCCGGGGATGGCGTCGAGTTGGAGGCCTAACTTGCGCGTCAGCCGCAGAGCTGACTAAGGGGCGCTTTCGGGCTGTTGGTCGGATACATTCGGACGTTGCACAGAACGTATTGAAACACCTTCATCTGGAGAGGAAAGAAGGCAGATGCCTGAATGAACCGTACACTCCGCTGTCCCCACAGCAGGTGAATAGAACACTACAGACCGGGAATGATAGTACGCAGCCCAGCTGTAGTACGAATACCCAACCACCCACCCCATCTCTCCCCCGCAGTACTACTACTCCAACCCCACCCGGGAAGATAAAGCCGTCAAACACCCCTCACATAACCCCACACAAGCGCCTTTACCACCCCCCCACCACTCGGTCCCATATAAGCGAGCATATAAGCGAGCCGTCCAGGGCGTAAGCGCCACGTTACGACATCCGAGTGATACGCTGTGACGCACCCCCGGCATTCTCCGGGAAAGTCCGATCAACCTCAGGCTCATTCCAATCTCTGCTGAGATATATACCAAGAGCTAGTCTCGTTCCTGGACTGTGCTATCTGTGGCTATGTACACCATGTGCACAGCCTGGTGTAATAAGTCTTCGAACTTCCTCCAAGAACTGTCGGAGTGACTCGGGGGGCTCTCGGAGAGTCTAGGCAGTTCAGAGAGATTTTAAGACCCCAAAATGCTTGATCTTGTAAGGCAAACTCGCAAAGATTTAAGGTTCACTAGGGATATTTAGGTTCAGATAACTTCCGCTAGTGTTGAAATTTTACGCTAGTTCGAGGTCTTCTCGGGGTGTGCTGAGCCGATATAAAATACCCCGAAAAGGCTCCCCGGGAGCCCCCCGAGAGCCCTCCGACGCTAATTCATCCGGGAAAATAGATCACTAAATGAAAAAGATCTATTACACTAGACTGTATCGTGTCGGGACATTCTGGCCACGAGACTGACCCAGAGCTAGATCAGGTAACCCACGGCGCGATACCTACCCCCTCATTGACATGGTGAGTCAGCCAGGCGGTAGTACTTTACCTCGATGAGGATTATCCACTGGCAGTATTCAAAGAGCAAATAGAAAAACCTATCAGAAACGAATTATTTAATGTGAGGCACTGCTAATCTCTGCTGGATCGATCTTACATATTGCCGATCGGATTCTTACAGATTCAACCCTCAAATTCGCAGCCTCCCTCTTTGATCTGGTACTATCCATCTCTAACAAGGGTGACTCGTGTTGACTTTTAATTGGCTGTATTACCATTACCGCACACAAAGAACTAGGAAGATACCTGGCTCAGTGCATGCACGGTCTAGGCTGTGGCCTTGAGCGTTTTATCTGTCCAAGGGATAAGCTGAAGGACTACCTATATTTAATTACATATCGATCCCATCGGATATACGATGACCAACGTTTAAGTCAAGGGGAAAGAAATGCGTCATATTACGTATGTTCTGACCCATACGCCCGTCACGCCCCATTTGCTGATAGCAATGTATAGGCCGACCCAATTGGCTGCTATCATCGGATGGCGTTACCTGTTCATCAATGGGTAGCATCCACTGAACCAAATACCCACTCATGGCACAGCCAGTGGTTGGGCTACCCAAATATTGAACAGTAAGCCGATGGGTGCCCACCCATCCTGGAATCTCTACAACATTGGCTCTAGTACTGGAGATGTTCTGGTTCACCCGCGAAGCCGGTTCAGTCGGGAAGTTGCAATGACTGAACTAGTTCAGTCACGAAGTTTCCTAGTCGAACGGATTACTTCCTAAGTGGACTATTGATATAGAAGAGGAGTCTAGTGAGGAGGCCTATTCAGTTCTTCCAGACCAGTCACGAAGTATTGTATTCTGGCAATAAAGAGTAGCGCTAATATATACATATCTATTTACAAATATTAATCTGTTACTTTCTTAAGCGGAGAACCCTAGAACTTGAACTGCTTTGCCCTGCCTTTGCGAAAATTAAAGAGCCATCCCCCCTACTTAATACCTGTTTACTTCGGGCTATTAGTAGTTCCCTCATATCTTTCGCGGACAGTCTTTTCTTTCTCCCTGTTGTAATTTTCTCCCGAGCACTGTAATTTTCTCCAGCGCACTTGATTTTTCTCCCGCGTATTTTATGAGTGATATATTGTGATGGACGCCATTTGTGACCGGGTCCCCAGTGATCAACGCATTTGGTACCATTGCCAGTTGATGGGGCCCGAGTCGCCAACACCTTCCCATTGGTCAATAGGTACAAGCGAAACCTTAATTTTTGTTTCGTTTCTTGAGTGAACCATGTACGTTAGCGCACTTCCCCACTGGACTGCTTTTATACATCAACAGTCCAATCAAGAAGAAATCAGTCCGGTCACGAAACTTCGTCACTGAACCGGTTCACCCACGAAACGTCCCGACGGAACCGACTTTGTGGTTGAGACAGAACAGAGACAAAGGCTCGAGGTGTTTGAGCGCTGGAACTAGGCTCAAGCGTAGACTCAATAGAGCGTATTTATTAAGTGTCATTTTTGACAATTGACATTTCAAAATTGACGGTTGCGAGAGGCAAAACTGACACTTCTCCTCCATAGGGATACAAAATGTGTAAGCCACAACAACAGGATGATAACTACTATGGTGTCCTGCAAGTGCATTTTGTATCCCCTTGACGTATTTCAAGCAACCCCACCCAAAATTGACACTTGTGGATGCCACTTTGGAAAGTGGCGAAGTGCCAATTCCCAGAATTGATGGTTAGCAAATACGCTCTAATATCTGACATTTATATCAGAAAATAGACCTTACAGTAGGTCGGCATATAGAGTTCGTATTGAGGATCAATGATCTCGGACTATTGTCGAGTACTACTGTTTTGCTACGATCGAGGCTTTTAATTAACGACCTACTCCACGAAACCCTCCTCATGACTGTGAATAAAAATATTTGGTTAGCGCACGAGTATGTGTGTGGGTGTAGGTACATTGCTGAAAGTCAGTGTTCAATATCGTTTGGGATATAGGCAGGAATTTTATTCGCTGTCTCTGAATGGGCTACCCACCTGTACGCCATTACCTGTCTGTGAACGGGGCAGGCCATATGATGATATCATGCTGGCGGGTAGCGTCCTCAATTGCGCCAGAACACGTACGATACCAAATCATGAGCTTGGTGTGTATGCAATCGCTGTCCCTGGAACATACGAATCCCCAGTCTAGTTTCGAAGGAGCCTATATGAGTACGTATAGGAAGGCTGACCTTTGTATTGGCTCAGATGGAAACCTGCATGCAGACATCTCAATGGGTACACCCGGGTATCAAAAGAGTCTGTACCCAACCCGACCCGGCCTCAGAATATGTGTACCCAACCCGGCCCAACCCATGGGTGTTTTAACCGGGTAAACCCGCCGCTTATATGGGTATAAATCCGGGGGTATACTATTTCTTTCATGTAATTTGGGAGATATTTGAGAATTACTATAGTGGGTATTTGAAATATATTATCTTTTTTCAGCGATGAAGTGCCTTTTTCTCACCCATGAAATAGCTGGGTATACCCGGGTCAAAATATAGGCCATACCCGGCCCGACCCGTTGAAGAAATGGCCGTACCCAACCCATACCCGCCGGGTGCTACCCGAGTGATGCCCGGGTTGGGTGTCACCCATTGCGATGTCTGGAGATCGGTCGGGCCAATCCCACCCATATCTCCAGATGACCCGACTCGCTATATAGCCCGCATATATTTCAGTCTCGGATAATTACCGTCAGAGTATGAAAGAGATACCATCAGAGTGTGAATCTGGTTTTTATCCGACCAATATCTCACTTTCAACCTCATCCGACGGCATACAATTAACCAATTTCAATTATCAATCAATCAATCAATAGATTCCAACCTCGGGGAACGTCAACCCATGCCCCGACACAGAGATACCAAATCGCTGAAATCTGAATGGGACCCTTGAGGATCTATTCCTGCCGGATAAGAGTTTACAAATCTATTGATACAACCAGAATGATTAGTCTCCTTCCGCGATTAACATGCACCTCTGACCCCAAGCCACCCGGACTTCTGAACTTCATGCCGCGGTGAGGAAAGCGCAAAGCCAAGATCTCGTGTAGGTATTGGGCTAGAACTAACAATGATGTTTAATTTACACAACGCCTGTCGGCGAACTTGCTCGGAGTTGAGAACCCTAACCCTTTGAATGAGTGAGGCATAGTGAATCACTTGGTCTTGGCATTCAACTTCAGATTCGATCTCTTTCCTCTTCATTTTTTTTCCTTTCTTTTCTTCGATGAATACTTGGATTACTGCATACGGATTGAGATGCCAATTGTGGAGCATAACAATCCACGGCTATCAATTGATCGTTGGCTATAGGAGTGGTAAAGAACGATCGGGGGTGAGCATGTGGTTATATTTCACGCTGTACGTATGTCTCGTTTTCCTATAATCTCGGATTCGTTGAGAAATCAGGTAACGCTATAGGAGCATGTTATCAATGTTGTATATACTTTAGACTGTAATAAATTACCAAGCCTGGGGAACACTAGATCAATTGAATACATTCCGATACAAGAACGTGTGGAGGAAAAAAGCAGTATAAGTGGAAGAGTTAAATAGGTGTAAGGACACATAGCTGAAACAAAGCAAAACTAAAGATACAGAACAAGTGGGCCACCCTAAGATAAAGGGGCATAGCGTATACATAGTCAGGCAACAGGGTAGGAAAGACCCGCACGACCGAAGGAATAATATAGGGAAGGTATAAAACACTTCGTCAATAAAGGCCGAGGTATTCTACAGAAAGAGGTAGATAGCACGTATGTACCTGTAGTAAAAGGAATGACGGAAGACTACAGGACGGCATGTACAGAAGCCTCTGATTCATTTCTAGATTCGGTGACTACATGCAACATCGATCCCGACCCCTGATGCCCAAATACG